CAGGAATAAACACTGTAAAGGCCGTTCCTGCCCGAAGATGAGCACAAGTCAGACATCAAAAGTTCATAATGAAATAGTACTTCCCCAAAATCAAATTGTGGAGGGAGATACCATAATTGCTCCAAAGTGTTGCAAATACTTACCAGCGGCAAGACCGAACCGCTGAAGTCCTCTAAGGTTTGTCAGCTTTCTTGCCGCTGCCCAAACGTCAAACACGGAACAGGAAAAATAGCGTTATCTGTATTGTAACTAAAAGGAATATAGATATGGATTGAACAAGAATGCCAATGAAAATTGTGGGTGTGAAGCAGATACACGCATAGAATTCTACAACAGATAATATCTGATACGATCCCCTAGCAAAACGATAAATCAGGTGATCAAAAACTGAGTGGCACAGCTTTATTTTTGTCTTTTTTTCTCCTCATTTCATGTTTGATTCCATCAGAGCATCCAATCTAATAATTTGATGAAACAGACATGAACTAGAAACACAGCGGAACAGGACGAACCTGACCAAGCAAGACATCCTACAATGCCGGAGGCAAACCCAGCTACCCGCAGAACTTTGAGATGGCACGAGAGAATGGAATTGACCTCTTCAGCCGTAATCTTCTCCTACAACCCGGAAGAAAAAAGCTCATCACTTTGCTCAAATCTTCAACCTTTCCATAACCCAATTCACACCAAACACAAGCATACAGCACACATCTCAGATCATAGAATCATTCCTTGAAAAACCCTACTTCAACAACTCGGCTTCTACACCGATTCTCGAAAAGTTCTTCCTTGACGCACAAAGATATCGGATTCAAACTAAGAATGAATTACCTAGCCAAAAAAAACCCAGATCCCAGAACAGGAAAACAGGCAACCGCAATTTAGAAAGACGGATACTTTCTGAAACCCATTGCGATTCAGACAAGATGAGAAGTTGGCGATTTCGGAGAAATCTAGGGTTTTAGTTGAAAGAAAACGATACCGATTCGGTCTTGGAGCGAAGGGTCTGATAGAGCTGATTAAGAGTATGGTAAGCCATCGATATTGTGAGAAGAGGTTCAATTCCAGAAACGTATCATCGAGTGAAGAATGTGTCGCAGATAAACAAAGGCACAAGAGCACACCACCAAGACCTTTTGGGTTTAATTTATGGGAGCAGTGTTTCAAGTCCCCAAATTCATCCAAACTAATCAAATTTAATGGTTATAACAAAAACTTTTATGTATTTTTTTAATAAATTTTATGACAAGCGCAATCTATAAATATATTAATTTCAAATAATTTAACTAATGTATTATACATTTATCCATTTAACCCTTCGCCAAAAATTGATAAATCAAATCTCTGTATTCTATAAAATATTTTTCTAGGGAGTGTATTTATTTGGTATTTTCAGTATATTTGGTAGATTTTGAGGCAACTTTCTTTAATACATTATCCGTTTAAGAATGTTTAGTAGTACATTGGCTTAAAATATTTTGGTATGAAAAGGCAAATATCTGATTTGGTGAGAGTGTGAAAATTCCAAAATGGAATATACATGTGTGTGTGTATATATATATGTGAACAAAAAAATTGAGATAATGCAACTTTTTTCTCTCTCTAGGGATTGTCATTTTGGGAATTAGCTGGGATTAAAAACAGGTTCCGACGCAACAAAAAATAAAATAAAATTTAAAAAAAACGAAAACAAATATGAGGTCAGTGCACAGAAATTCCCGAGTTTATAAGAATCGTCCTATGGATCAATTTTTTGTTGTTGGGATGTGAATATATTAATAAAAAAACAGTTTTAAATACACTCCGGTTGAGCGCAACTCCGGTCGAGCAACCGTACGAAAAAGCAGAATTTACACGAGAACAACTTTAAAAAAAACTAAAGAACAAAAGGACATAAACATTGACAATCATGGTGGGCTATTAGCGCTTGTTAGGTAGAACCAATTCTACAAGAGTAAGTTTTCTCCTGACTGCAATTCTTTCTTGGCTGACAAAATAACATTTCGCACGAGTCGGTCAAGTTTGTGTCCAATGACAACTGGTTCTGAGGGCTGAGATCGAAAAATTCGGTTATTCCTCTCTCGCCAGACCAGATATATGAGTCCCTGCAAAGTGATCTTAGCAAGTGCCCCCCTTTGTTTGTCCCTGCATTGGCCAGCTGCCTCGATCCATCCGTGGATTTGCGGTAAGAGGAGTGGATGATCAGGTCTAATCCTATAAGCAAAATGCTTACATATCCCGGAGCTAAACGAGCACGCAAGGAAAAGGTGGTCATGCGATTCTGCTGCCTGAATACAAAGACAACAGGTTGTGTCCGTCTGAGCTCCCCATCGATTCAACCGATCTTTCGTTGGCAACCTCTATGAGCTGGCTTGCCACTGAACGAAGCGTGTCGTGAATCGTGATACGGTGTGTTTAAACCAAATATTCCTTGCCCATGGTACTTCCGAGGATTGTGATCTCAGCTGGCTCCATGTTCTCGCTGTGCTAAAAATTGTCGTGAATGTGGTTGCGCCGTATCTCCACAAGGTTGTGTCACTCCCCTTATCTGACGAAGGTGTCTCTATGGTTGTCAGAATCTGCTGTAGTCTTTGTGTCGTGTCTGAGCGAGCTGCCGGAAGATGCCATCCGTTGTTGTCTGTAGCTTCATTTACTTTGGCGTGAAATGGAATACGCAGTTGTCGGGGTCCTTGTTCTCCCGATCAATGGACCAAGGTCAGTCCAATTATCCAACCAGAAGTATGTGTTATGTCCGTCCCCGAGCTTCTTCTTGAGCAGCGGCCTTACCAATTCCTTGAGCCCTATTAGCTTCCTAAGATTCCAAGAGAATCGAGAAGATGGGTTGATTGTCCAGTAGGATTTCCTGTTGAAAATCTGTTTATTCAGCCAGGCTACCCATAATGAACTTATGGATCAATTTTGGAAGAGAGCAGAACAAAATAACGCAGAAAACACAACTCGTTTCCGAGGTTGTCCCTACAAACGAGACATACTAAATATGCCAACTGTTCCTAAAGATAAAAAGACGACAGAAATTCCTCACAGCCAGCACTCTCTGAACTGAAATTCCCGAGTTTATAAGAATCGTCTTACGTGGGGGTTGGCAGTGCATTAACCCTTTAATGGCGAAATTCCGAACACGTTTTCCCAAGGAGATCAAAGGTCAGTGACAACAGACCACCTCAATTACCAAAAGACAAAAGGATTCATTGAAAGTTTGGTTTCACTGGTGAGATCAAGAACACCAGAGGAGACTGAAGCACAAGCACTCAAAGAATCAAAAAGGCCTTTCCATGGGGCTAAATACATAGTTAGCCGAATCACTGGTTAAGAGGAGTGCATTTCCTTCAAAAACGTCACACTGTACAGCGATTAGCAGCTAAACAAAAGCATTGTTAGAGAAATAAGATACCTCAGCCACTCGGCCTGATAGGACATTTGATCAACCTCGAGATTTCGCTGTCTGCAAATGCTCACCTCTTCAGTGATGGATTTGCACAGAATGCACTTTGAGAAGTTCAACATCTGACCACCATGGAAACATCGTTTTAAGTAATTCAGCTAAAAATCGAAATTTGGTTAAAGTACCATACGGTAGGAATCTGATTGCTGATTTACGCTAGGAAATACCTGATTGATTTTCCATTTGGTATCCGAATCTCTGCAGCTCGACACCTTTCTGTTCTTACCAACGCTCTCGAATTCATATTCCGAAAATCCCAACTTTCGAATCCATATCTCAAGCAGCCCGTGATCTCTCAACATCATTCCTCACAATATCCTCCGTGAATTCGGGTTTGAAAACCCTAATTCCAAGCCCAAAACCAAACCCAATACAAGAACCACTCTCACAACACCACCACAAATCCGAGAAATACTCTTGCTCTTAGTCTTTTTCCTCGGCTCTTT